GTTTTCCTCACGTGAGAGAACGTTTAAATTGATTTAAGTGGAAAAATGATGTTGATTTGAGTTGCGAGACGCAATTGGACTCAAAATAGACACAAACATTGGAGATGACATTCTGCCTTCTGGGGATGAAATTGTAGTGCAGGATACTCAGAACTCAGTTACTGCAAAGTCTCTGTCATTTCATCACCTCCTTGCATTAATGGTCGGCATAATGAGCTTACATGCTGTGCTGCGTCTTCTCCGAACGTGTTGCCGTGCTTTATGACCTCGGAGCTCTTCTTTGGCTTCCATTCGTGTTTTGTGAAATGTTTCTACTGTACGGCTTCAGGCCTGAGGCCATGTGATTGCTGCTGGTTGTTCTTTTCCATGTTGGACCCTCTCCAAATGAGACATGACTGTTCAGTTATTTTCCAAACGTTCGGTGATAAACTTTAACATTTTACACACTAACCGGGAGCTGTAAAGTCTGATCTATGGCTCTAGAGTTTCTCTTCGGTGTTGTTTGCTCCCTGTGAAGTCGGTGGGATGTCCACGTCTTGAAAGCTGGAGGAAGTGTCTTTTTTATTGGTGGTGGTTTTTTTTTTTTTTTTAATTCAATGAGAAACTCCAGTTTATGTGAATTATCTTAATTTCAATTCATTTTCTGTTTTCATGCTGAACAAGGAGTCAGGATTTAAATATTTCCCCTCTTGCACTCTGTTCACGCAGAGGCTGATCTTTGGCAGCGTCCTTCAGAAAGTCTGAGCTGTCTGTCACAGAAATTAAATTTCCATTGATAACCGCTGAGCCGTGTCTGAAGCAGCTGCCTGTCTGGCTTTCTACGATAGACTGTGGAAAAAGCATGAGGGCTCACATTAGGAGAGACGCAGAAAAACTGCAATCACGACTTGTTTCATAACTCCTTATTCCTGCGGCGTCGGGTACACCAGTGAAGATTAGGAGAGAAAAACGGTGCACATCAACTGTGAAGATGAAATAACTACAAGAATATGTTTAAATTTGTTTTAAGGGTATAAAAAAACCCTGAAACATAAACAGAACTGAAAGGGCGGTAACCAGGCTTACAGTTGCCAACAAAGACATGATTGCTAAACTAGCAGTAAATCTATATGAAGCTCATAACTCTGGTGATTTTTTTTTTTTTTTGAAAAACCTTCTTAACACAATAAACAGTTAGTAATGCTGAATCATACATTTCTGAAGCATACTTCTCTCCACCGAGATGAAGTGGAAAGAAAATCGAGAAAGCATATGTTATGAACTTCAGTAAATTCCAACGAAATTGCAATGTAAGGTAAGCCGGCCCATGGCATATGCAATCTAAGCATCTTTTCAGCAACTTCAAAGGTCCAGGATGTACACAAAACCTCCCAGCTTCAAATTCACAAGTACATTTATCATTCCAACTAAAAAAAATGTCCAACTTCCAAACTTTTCAAAGAACTGACATTTCTTTTAAATTTTCAAAAATGTGTTTTGATTCCTTGAAAGAATCAAATTGCATTGGATTGTGCAGTGAAGACAAAATCCCATACCACGGTGTAGTTAAAGTAATTGTTCAGTCGAGCTTTTACAACTTAAAAGTTGCATTAGGTCTCCCATTGGTGGCCAGAGGTTGTGGTCTTATAGCTCCAAAATCACGTTCTCTTCTCTTCTGACTGCAAACAACGCATTTATGACATTCCATAACTGTAGCTGACTACAGCTATGGAACAAGCAAGTTTCCAGTTATGCAAAAGTATGACTAAGTAAACAATGACCACATGCTCCATCACCTCTGTCCTCTGAAACCATGAAGAATGTGAGAAAACAAGACGCAGACCTTCAGTGTTTGGGCAGGGAGTAGTTCACTACAGTCCAGCTGGTTACAGTGGACAAACTGCTGTGATTAGAGAGGCTGTAGAAACTGGAGATATGTTTTATTTGGGGTTTTTTTTTGTTTGTGTGTGTGTTTTTTTTTCTTTCCAATGAATCAGGATCAGAACCCGCAAGGATGAGTACTTTCATACCTGTGCAACAGGCATCAAAGGTTACACAGGTTCAAAGATGTCTGACTGATGTCAAAGAAACTCCGGTGGTTCTTCTGACCTGTTTTACATGCGGTGGGGAGTATCTATGACCTACGGTGACTTACTGTCAGGACTTAGGATTTGTATCTAAATAAATGAATTATTACCAGAATGTTCACTTTTAACATCCTTTACCAGGAAATTTGCTGATTCACACGCTGCTTTATGGTGCTTCGTACTTATCATTTCAACATTAGTCACTGAGTGTGTGGCTGTAACTCCCTAACAACTGATGGTATGTTTCTGTGTAGGCTTCAAACAACACCAAATAAAAAAACAAAAATGTGAGAAATATGTGAAGTTGTAACCAATTTGTGTAACTTACAAACAGATAGGTTGAGAAATTTAGATTTCAAATGGTGTCGTCACAATTAGTCTTCTTGCTAAGTTCAAAAAGGATGATAATAAGCACAGACAACCATATTGTCAAGAAAAATGAACAGACTGTTTAATACAAAATTAAATAAAAAATATTATTGTAAAGAAAAAAAAATTACAGTGTCCACCCTCACATCAGGTAGTGTGTTTCCTTCTAGTCCAGATTTCTTATTGTTCAGTTCCTTTCTTTAGTTCAGTATTTGATATTAAAGTCAGTCAGTCAAGTCTTTGTCAAATTCAATGGCCATGTGTTCCTTTGCATCCAACATCTGATCTTAATCCAGCAGTCCCAGGTCTTGGGTTGAAACCTGGAGCTCAGCACATCCAGTCCAGGTGAGCAGCTGGACTGGATGTCCAACGTGGTTCTAAAATAAACAAGCGGAGAAAATCACAGTAGAAATGGATTGAACTGCCAGGATCAGGCTACTTATCTTCTCCGTCACTGGAATTCAGCGGTCTCTGAAAACCCAAAATTAAAATAGAAACAGATTAGTTTCTATTTTAAGTTATCAAAGCTTCTTCTTTTGGACTTTGACCAACATTTCACTCATTTTGTCTGGAATCTGACCAGAACAGCGTGTTGTTCAATGTGTGCCTGAATAAGTATAGAAACCATTTGAACGGGTGAGGCCCAAAACAGAGACGTAAGAATCACGTCATCATGTAGCCAATCGGCAGGTGTGCGATATATATATATATATATATATAGATAGATAGATAGATAGATATATATATATATATATATATATATATATATATATATATATATATATATATATATATATAGCCTATGTCTTGCAGCGAACCCTTCATCTTTGCTGTTATCTTTCGCTGTGAGCTCTCATGTCAGCTGCTGCGGTATCTCTCCCATCTCCGACAACAACATGTTTCTGTTCCGAGAAAAATCGGGAAGAAGAAGAAGAAGAGTTGATCTTGGACGGAGCCGCGCGTGATGTGAGCGCGCGCCGGTGTCTGTCCGCTCCCTGGCCGCGGTCACTCGTTCTGCCGGGTCCTCCGGGTGGGTGGTCCGCTCCGAGAGAGGTGCGCTGGAAACTTTATACCAGCATGCACACTCACAAACACACTCACGAGAAGGAGCGGGAGGAGGGAGGGATGGGTGGGTGGGGGGGACGGAGGGGCGCTGGGAATCACACCAACGCAGCACAGCAGAGGGTGGAGCAGGCAGAAGCCTTCTTCCAGATGTGCGACATTAATTTTAGCTGATCCACAAACATGAACCGGTAGCTCCCACTCACTCGTCACCACCGAGCGCGCATGTGTGTGTGATTGTGTGTGTAATCACACACACAATTCACAATTCTGCTTCTTTTTTTAAAACATCAAAACCTCAAATGAATACCTGCAAGTTTTTCTTTCGTTTTTTTTTTTTTTTATGAATGAATTTGAGGATGAGGATTTGAGCAGGTTATGAGAACAGCTTCCTCTCTGACCTTTACGGAGTTACGCCCGTGGACTTTTCATGCAATACTTTCCACCAGGAAAGTACTGAGGAGGGGTATGGAGAGGAGGGGCGACGGGGGGTGAATGGAAAGACAAGGGCAAAGCAGGGGGAGAAAAATGAAATCAAATAATAAGAAGAAGAAGAGCGGAGGAGGAGATGGAGAGAAGATGTAGGAGGACGGAAGTGGTTTTGATTGGGTCCCTCCAGAGATTCTTTTGTTTGGATTGTTCCGCGTTTCACTTCGTTCCCTCTCTCTCTCCATCTTCCTCCCTCCTCGCAGACATCTGAGGTAGATTACAACAGAGACCCCGGGTCACATTTAGGACTTAAACCAGGAACATATGGCGCCGAGAGCGCGTTTTGAAACGTCCAGTTCAGTGCGGTGGGATTCCCCCCAGTCAGGTCCCCAAGTGGTGCTGGTCAGATTTATTTTCTTGTCCATTGTCTCTTGCTGGGATATCAAAGAACTATTGTTTGTTCATCAGCAAGAGTACAGCAGGTTACTTACAGGTCCTGGATAAGGGGGCCCTGCCTCTCCCCCCCCCCCACACACACACATATCCTTTATTTGTTCTGATATATAACTGGGGCCTCATCCTGATCAGTGCTTCCACACTCGAATAAAAACTCGCGTTTTAAGAGTGCGTGTGGTTTTTGTACGGCTTGTTTTATTCAAGCCTCGACAAGACCCGTTTTAATGCCCGCCGGGCACCTCGCTTTCTGGCTGCACAGCACGGCCCGGCTTTAATCCGAACCTCATGGAGAAAGCAGCCCACCGTGCGTAAAGCTCACGTCCACATGGCGGCAAATTGAGAGGATGCGGGGACGCGACGGCGTGGCAATGACTTCAGCCGGGACAACAACATCTGTAAAAGTGTCATTTGACTTTATTAGCATCGGTTTCACTCAGTTGAAGAGAGAGAAGAAAAAAAAGAAAAAAGAAATCAACTTTTGTCTTTGGAACGTTGGAAGAAATCAAACAAGCAAAAAAAAGCTATATATATATATATATATATATATATATATATATATATATATATATATATATATATATATATATATATATATATATAGATATATATAAACACACACACATAATAATAATAATGGCATCAAAATAGTTTGGACGAGAGAACAAAAATTGAGGAGTAAGGCTCAAATATTTTTGGATGCAGGGCATTTTCCTCTTTTTCTGCCCTATTGTTAACACATTAAAAAAATGGAACAAAAATGTATTTACAGTTCATTTATTTACATTAAGGCATTTTTTGCTGGGGGTAAAAACAAACAAACAAAAAAACAACACAGTGAATTTGTTATATCCCAGCTTCTACACAATTAAATAAATAGAGAGATTTCCCTTGTTAGATTACAGTGCTATATTATCTTAAAGCTACCTGCAGTGAATGAACAAGTACAGTTATAAAGGCCGAATCACACAATCAAACTCACACCTGGGTGTATATTAGAGGACAGATTCTCTTCTTAAGCTCATGTTCTGTAAATACAGTAATCCATCAAGACCATACATCTATAAACAAAAGCTACCACATTTTTATTTCATTAAAAAAGGTCCCGTTTTGTTTTTATTAGTTAGTAAAAAAAAAAAAAAGTAAAGAAAGAAGGTACAGTAGGTCTTAATGGATCACGGAGTTATGGTTAACAAGACTGTCGACTGCTGGAGTGGAACAAAAACAGAGATTCACCGAGAAATCAACTCTGAAGGCCGATTTTCTGCTTGATCGTCAGGTCAGAAACTCAAAAATATTCTCCCCCTCAGTGAACGCACAGCATGTAGGCAAAAAACAGGCTGCACTGACAGCAGCACCTTTCAGTGTGGCGACAGCAACTGTGAACAGCAACATCGAGCTGCGAGAGAGAGAGAGACTTTCTGGGCTTCGACCTCAGTCTGCCGTGCTTCGGTTCTGGTTTTGAGATGCCGGGAAAAGCAGCAGTGTTGGTGGAGCAAAGTTTTACAAAACAGATGGATAAACTCTGACCGGTGCATCGCTGAGCAAAACTGCTGTCAGGGTAATAATGGCGGCAAGAGGAAGACATTTATCTAAATGGATCTATGTGTAAAATATTCAAGTTCTTTAGCTTCAAAAATGTAGCAAATCTGTCCTCTAACAGAGCATGTGTCCAAATTTGAAGGCCTGATGGAGCCCTGTTGCTAGTTATCTGCCTACAGATTAAAAAAAAAAAAAAAGGCTAAAACCTCCTTGGAGAAAGAGACAGACTGTCACTTTAGTACCATCTTTAGTGTTCAGAGCTGAGCTGTTATATTACAATGGAGATGATCAGCTTTAGGATATTAAAGTTTCTCGTTTCCCTCTCCCTGTACTGAGTTCAGAGAATTTATTATTATTTTTTGACAGAACAGGAACCAAAAACAGCACCATGTGTGTTTAAAAGAACCGCCCACACTAATCACTCTGGCAGAACAGGAACACATTAACCACAGAAGGAGGCACTTCATAGGGTGTTGATGACGAAGATTAGACTTTGGTTAAAACGCAAAAATGAAAAATAAAAAGTTGGATGGCACAATCTGCACAGAAACAACATTTCTGAAGATGCTTAATTCAAACTTGTGCATAAATACAGCTGCTTCTGTTTTAACAGAGTCAGGTCTGCTTACATTTCTCCGGCTGGACATCCATCAAAAGCCTGTCCTAAATAATTGATCGCCTAATGGCTGCTCTTTACAATCCACCCATGTCCCCATGTTACTCAGCCATCTGCACATTTCCTCTCTATAAAATGAAAAACAATTCAGTCTTGCCATCTCTACCTTCCTCTCATGTTTTTTTTTCTTCTTCTTCTATGCTTCATCTTCTTTGTCTCAGGAGAATAAATGCTTTCAATTTTTAATATCCGGACAGCGGTGACTGGCGTGGCATGTCCAGTTGTGATAATGAACGTTTTGTTGTTGCATGAGATGCACGATAAGTTCTAGTGCAAACCGAAGGATTTGGTTAAAAAAGAATTAAATAAAATAAAACCTGGATATTCCAGCTATTTAAACAAACATACCAATGAGTAAACAAAAGTTTTTCTTGAATTAAGAAGTTCTACATTACAACAAAGACAGACAATGGGTTTTATTTTTTTCTTTCCAGTCACACAAAGTCCAAATGGACCGGAAAACGTGAAGGAGCTACCATTTTCTTTACGCTATGGAGCTTTTTTTTTTTTTTTTTTTTTTTTTTTTTGTTATTGTTCTTGTCCAAAGACATTTTTTATCATACCTTGTGACGGTACTAAACCAAAGATTTTCTTGGCCACCGTTTTCTTCCTTAGCTATCAAACAATTGTATTGATCGATGGCAGCACCGGGGTGGCGTGGGGTGGGGTATGGGGGGGCTGGGATGCCAGCAAAGCTGCTTGGCATCGCGCAGCCGCTTAACACTGTAGCTGTCGGACACGAGCCGAGTGCTTTGCGTGAGATTTCGGGACGAGGGCTCGCACGGCACGACCGTGGCACGCGTGCAAAACGTGGCTAGTTCTGGTGCCTCTTCATGTGCAGTGCGAGGTGGTCGGACCTGGAGAAGGAGCGGGAGCAGACGGTGCACTGGAAGGGCTTGGCTCCCGTGTGTTTCCGGTAGTGGCGCGTGAGCTCGTCGGAACGAGCGAAGCGCCAGTCGCAGCTGTCCCACGTGCACCTGTACGGCTTCTCACCTGCAACGAAGGAGAAGGGGGGAGTCTTGGTGAGTTCATACGACAGCAGGGTGGAGCTGAACGCCTTTACATTTTCACAAACTGTCCGAGTGACGGGACGCACATACTAATGACGGCGATACACTTTCTGTGAAAACAAGTTAAATCCTTCGAGTGATTCACAGTCTGGTGCAGAAACTGGGAAAACAGGCTTCGCTGAAAATTCCAGTTGTCTGACAGGATATACAGTCATAACACTGTCACTCAGAGGCATTTATCAAGCACTCCAACACCAGCACTGTGCAAGTTTCCCACAGATAGGCTACTCCTCTGTATTGTCTACCACTACTTCTGGCATGTCTTTGATGGGTTCAGGCTGTTTGTCACTTCTTCATTCCACGCCTCTGGCTGCAGGCGCTTTGCAGAAACCTTATGCGGCCTCAACTTTTACCCAACCGCTTGCTTCAGTCTCATTGGTCCAAACATCTTTAAGGGTTTGTTCGCCTAGCTTACAAGAAATGCACATGCTCCTTTGTAAACATTTGCACATTTGTTATTGTTTTTGTTAATCTTGACTCAGAAAGTATAAAATGACATCAATTCTAAAAATGTGCTGCAAGTTCCTTGACAGTACCTCTGAATCCATTGGGAAATAGAAAGAATTACCAGATTGACCCAATTTATGCACCACAGCATTGTTTCCTAACCAAAGATTTCAAAATAACTCAGATTTTTTTAAAAAACAAAAACGCATTGCTCGATTATTTTGTAGAGCAAATGTCTAGTTTGGAAAATTCGCTGATTGCCATCTCTGGCCAACTGATTGGTGCATTCCTAATTATTTTTTGATGAAACCAATGTTATTTAACATTTAACAACACAACTCTCTGTTTTGCCTCATGCTAACATTCTAGCATAGAAAGAAAGTGGAAAAGAATTGACCAGAAGAGTCAGGTATGACAAAGGAAACAAATATAGTGTACAGATGTCATTGATATTTCTGTAGCCAGACCAACTGAAATGCTGAAAGTGAAGCACAGAGATGGGAGTGCCATGATAAGGACCTGCATGACGGCAGATGATATTCATAGATGGTGTACTAAATGCCTGTGCACGCCGTAAAAACGTAGCCCTAAACACCTGAACTGTGTAAATCTAAAACCAAACTATAATTTTTTTTTTTTTTTTTTTTACAAAAGATTTCCATACAAATATCAGTTTCACCAAGCATGTCGCTGGGTGTGAGTTCAGTATATAGAAGAAGAAAAAAAACAAGAATGCAAATGGCTGATAGAAATGAAAAGTTTTTGTGGAAAGATTTGCATCTCTTCAGAAGTCTGCACAGCATTCTAACCTTTAGGTTAAAGGTGTGTGTACGTGTGTGTGGGTGTGAGTACGTGTGTGTGTGTGTGTGTGTGTGTGGAGGCGGGCTTAAGAAGGTTTAAATCTCATCAATATAAACTTTCCTTCCTCAACTGTTAAGTGTTTTCGGGTTGCATCAAACTCTCCGAACAAGCACAACAGGCTGCGAAGTGTTGCTCAAACCACAGCAATTAAGCTGCAACATGATGAATCACGACGCCGGCACAGTAAAGAAACGCACCATCGACGCGCACCTGAACACGGACAACGCAAGCAAGAGAGTCGATGAAAGAACAAGCTGGACACACTTTCACACACAAATACAGACCGACACACTCACAATCAGGGTAATGGATGTTGATGGAGATTAGAGTGGGAACTCCCACCGGGACCCAAACGCATTAGGAATCATCTCATACAGATTACTGACAGGTGCGTGAGGAAGTGTGTGTGTGTGTGTGTGTGTGTGTGTGTGTGTGTGTGTGTGTGTGTGTGTGTGTGTGTGTGTGTGTGTGTGTGTGTGTGTGTGTGTGTGTGTGTGCACTGAAGCATCTGAATCAGAGATGTAGAATGAGTAATAGACAAAGATAGAAATAAAGTGTTGGGGGAAGGGGATTTCACAAAGGGTTGAAGGTGGAAGGCATCCAAAACAAAAAACAAACAAAAAAACTAGACAGAAGGATGATTGGTTGAATTAAAGGAACAGAAAGAGGGAAAAAAAAGGCTGTGGAGAACAGGGAGGATATATAGCTGGAGCTGTACAACCGTTTACGTGTTGTTCTCTCATCTTGTGGCCTGTAATAACTGAAATAACCACAATCAGCCTGCAGCATGAATGATCTAATTGTCGTGTCATGTTCCTAATACTGAAATGCACTTCATGCACGCACACACACACACACACACAGCCGTTTTGCACAAATCATCCGGATTAATGAGTGGAACTGTTTCTGGGTGAAACAGAGAAAGAGAGAGAGAGAAAGAGAGAGAGAGAGAGAGAGAGAAGGAAAGAGACAGAAAGAGAGAGAGAGATTTTTGTGTGTACTTCCAGATGAGTGAGGAATGCCCAGATATCAACAGAAGCTTTGTTTTGTCAGCTGGAGCGAGGTGGGGCCCAACACCTAAGCACTTGTTTGTTGACTCTTCTCGTCCAGGAAAACCAAACGGTTTGAAACTAAACGTGCAAGGAGGAAATGGCTTGAGGAAAACACAGAGTCGGAAGGGGGATCAGAGATAATGGGAAAGTGCATGCGACGAGGATTATTTGAGGAGGGAAATTTAAAACAGGAAGGGCTAAATAGTTTTTTGCATTTGGGCGACAAAAGTTTGTGCGTAGTAAAAACTACTCTTGATCCACTGCATTTACTCTCACTAACAAATATGAACTGATACAAATAAACAAAACAAAAAAATCAAAGCCGGGTAAGAAGGTATGGATTTCCATTGAACAATTTCACAAAAAATAACAAAAAAGGCAAAACAATAATTAGATAAAACAATCCTGATAATTCTGCTCTGTTCATTTGGGCCAATGACATCAGAGGCACAAAAATTTAATAGATCTGTGTCATTCCATCTCTCATCGGTTTTGGTCTGGATAACTGTGAAGGCCGTGTGACACGCACAATGACAGATCACCAATCCCGATCAAACCAAAAATAACTAAATGACCTTCTGCTAGTAGATTTTTTTTTGCTTTTTTTTACTGGATTCATCTGATCCCAATTTTTTTTTACAATAGGACATAAATAAAAGCAAATTACTTAAATTCATTGGCAACGGGCAACTAAACATCCACCAAGTGATGGCAGAAATCTTAAGCTGTCTTCAGATTTCTAACTGGTGTTAATGTGTTTTTACTCCTGTTGCAAATCTTCCACCTGACTGGTTTACATGCAGAACCCCCACAAAGTAATAAACCTATTATACACTACTTGTAATCCATACTCTGGAAAATCCAGTATAGTCAGCATAAAATATACATTTTTGATCTCATATTGCTTTATTTTGTCATTTAATTTCTAAAAATAAATGGTTAAGATGCTAATCTAGAAGCATAAATATCAAATAAATGACTGACACAGAAGTATGAAAATCATTGATTTATAACCACCACCGACTTGGGTTGAAATAGACATTTTAATGAGACAAATCAAAAATAAAAAGTCCACCTAATTATAATTTCAAGCAAAATCTCCTTATTTTAAATAAAATTCGGAACGCAATCTTTTTAAAAATTTTAGTTTGGACATTTAAACATTTTTAGAATGTAAAAGTAGTTGTTTTCTCACATCCCTTGTGGACAGAAATGCTGTTGATGGTATTTGCTGTTCTGCAGGTGCATGAATGATGGATGGGTTTAACTAAGACTGAGTAGATAAATCTGTCTGTTGATAGTTTTTGGCAGAAAAATACTTCATACCGACCAGACCTTGTTTGCTTTTTTGTTTTAAAAATAAGGTGGCTCTATATGATCGCCGAAGATCTTTTAAACCAAAATCTGTCCATTCCAGTCAGCAGGAAACTGAAACAAATCACTTTAGTGTGTTTTATTGTTGCCAGATTTCCTGAAGTGCTCTCATATATGGCTTAAATGTTTTCCCCGCAGCCACACAAAGTGCAATGAATGGGATATTGACAACACTGGCATGAAACATTTTCAAAACAAATCTGTTTGTTTTACACCTTTGCGTGATGTCATCAGAGGCAGGCACGTTTTTATCTTGAATAAAATAACGATTTACAACAAAATACCTCTATAGGTATTTTTTGCTTTACAAATAGTTTGACAAGTAGCTTTAATAGCAGCAATAAAAGCAACACCGGCCTTGAGAAGGTGCATTTTATCTGATCTGGTGACGTGAATCTGAGAAAGATGGTACCACACGCCCAGCCCCCCAATCACATACTGCCAGAGTCATCCGCCCTGTCCCCTGGCAGAAGTGTGGCACTTCCACCTGTTTTGATGGAATAGTATATTGTGGGGGGGGGGTGAGGATGTGGAATGAGGATATGCTTACAAACACATGACGAGAAGACGGGGGTCTGCCTAGCAACACGGTGCCAGCGCAGACACTTGAAACCCGAGCGCAGCGGCCCGAAAAGCGCATCGATCAGAGGAGCGCCTTACCCGTGTGAGTCCTGAGGTGGGCTTTCAGATGGGACGACTTGGTGTAGACCTTCTTGCAGCCTGGAGCACAGAGATGGAGATAAACAAAAGCAGACAGCTTAGACCAAATAATCTGCTTGTGTCAGATATGCATTTACCCAATAAACCGAGCTGCGGTATGCAAGAAATTTGAACTAATGAAGACCAGAAGCTGTGTGGAATGAAGCACAGTAAATGCTGTGGAAATCCTCAACAGAGTATCATGGCTCTTTGTTCAAACTCAGTCTATGTGGGGATGTAGCTCGTCCCAATAAGCAAAATAATCAGTGAAAAATAATATTTAGAAACGTCCTGCCCTGCTGTGTTTGCACTGTACAAGAGTACGACTAACAGATACTTATGTGAGAGGTGGATTCGTGGAAATGATGGATGCGTGTCATCTCACTTTTAAAGAAACGTGTACGAACAAGCTACACAGAAATCCTCCATCCTCCCCCCCCTCTTCCCCTCTCTCCTTTACCTGCTGCCACAGGCTAGTTAACATTTCATGTTCTACAAGTTGCTGCACATCGTACAGCCTGAATGTGTGTGGCTGTTTGTCAGGCAGTTTAAGAAAATACTTTAACCTGAGCAAGCTATCTCAAGCACGCATGCAAATGTGTGAGTGCGTGTGTAGGGGAAAAAAAAGATCAAATGGCTGCAGGAAAACATCTGTGTAATTAAAACAACCACATAAGCGCAGGTTCATGCCACAATCATTCCAGCGATGATTTAGGCTCAACAGTCAGGGTTTCTGGGCTGTGTGGTGACACAATCGTTTAGGTTGCGATAATAAATGCAAAGTGGTTTTCTGAGCTTATGGTCAGAGAAAATGCACTGACAGCTGATTTACATGTCAGCGAAGCTGCTGCAGTTGTAAGCAGAGTGCAAGGAAGGCATGGTGAGCCCAGAGGTCTGGGACAGAAGTTTCAAAAACAACGTGTAATTTCAAAAAAATGCAGGGGAGTCTTAAAACGAATCTGGTTGTCATGATGTTGACCTTTCCGACTGGCCAGTCGTCAGCCCGGCCTGACCACAGCACCGGGAAAATACAATACAGCCGGGAAACAATCAGCGCGCGTGCACGCACACACGCGCGCACTCACACACAATGTGGAGGGCGTGCTGCTCTCCTGACCTGACCTGGGTAATCACAGTGGTGGATCCGGCGTTTCTCCAAGTCCGGGTTGTTCCTCCGGTTGTATCGGACGGTCCCGGAGTTCTGCGTCGTGGTCTGGGCTGCAGGGCCCTGGGGGAGGCCCGGAGACGGGCCTTGGACTGGAGTGGGCAGGGCGAAGGCGGCGGGTCCGGGCCCGGGTCCGAGCCCCGGCGTGGTCCCTGCCAACTTGGAAGCGATGGTGGCGGCGTACGAAGGAGGAGGGGACAGGGTGTGGAGCAGCTCCTTCTGCCTGTCGGGGCTGCCCGGCTCGGAGCTGGGCGGGGAGGGAGGCAGGTAGGGCACCTGCTGCTGCAGGTAATGGGAGTGCACCTGAGCATTACGATGCGCGTAGACCCTGCGGTAGTCCGCCTTGGTGCCCTGCTCTTGCTGGGAAGAAGCCGAAGCTACTGGTAAATCATGGAAAGGTGCATGGACACTGGAATTGTGCTGCATCTGCTGCTGTTGGGTCTCCATGCCATCCATGTGGTGATGATCCAAGCCGGCGTTCAGGAGCTGGAAGAGCGAGCCGCTGCCGTCGTGGTGGATGCCCTGCTGCTCGAACTGCGACGGCATTTCCTGTTTGATGAACACCTCTCCCCCCGACTGGGTGAAAACGCTCGTGAAGTCCGGTAACCCTGTTAGCGACATGTTTATGGCTGAGGTTTCCAAGGCCGCGTTGCCGGGCTCGTGCCCGGAAGTGCCGCAGCCGCTCGCGGGCGTACCGTGCGGGCAGTGGGGCTGCAGGTGCGGGCCGAAGCACGACGAGGCAGCTTCCGTTTTAATTTGGGCCAGGCCGGTGCGGCCCTGGGCCTGAGGGGGCCGCACCTGCTCACACGAGCCCATCCTCAGGTAGGCCACGTCGGGGAGGTAAAGGTTCATGTTGAGGGTGTAGGGAGCCCCGGCGTGGTCTCCGCTAAAGAACTGCTCCGCCGCCGACGTGTTGTCTGTGTGCGACTTCTGCTGGCCGTCAGCCTGGGGCGGAAAGGCGGGAGGGGAGAGATACCTGTCCATCTCACACTTCACCTGTTGGAGGAAACAAACCAAGCGCTTAGAAACAAATTCGAGCGCAAAGCTTCCACTCAACTATTCTGAGACAGAAGTTTGGGAGGAACAGTCACTGCTGAAGCATTTATCAAGTAGCCATCAATTTGCAGCCGCAACATTCCCTCGCTGCCTGCAAAGCTGACTCAAACACCTAGTTGTTTCCAGCAGTGAAGGATACAAGCATGTTTTGACTTTTGGTTCGTCGCGGCTGTCCATTCACAGGTCAGTCTAGTTCAGGTGAAAAGCGCCACCTGGATTCCGTGAAAGTTACTTAAACCTGACAGCAGAGGATGAAACAAGAGGGAACGAGGGGGAGGAAGGAAGGGAACCACCCATGTCTCCCTGTCCGCTGCAGCGGCAGCAGCGGTAGCAGCAGCAGCAGCCTGGGGATGGGCTGCTATTTGAGGCTCCACAACCTACCAGCTGTTCCACACACTTCTCTCCTCTGCTGCACAAGTTTCCTCCTAACTGGGGACAGAGCCGGCCGGGACATTTCTGTCCGAGTCAGTTGTCGTCACTGTGGTATGATGGTGTGAGTGGACACCAAAGGGAGACCAACAGCTGGTGACCAACTGGCTGCCTGGCATAGACAAACACGCGCTGAAGGCGACTTCAGGCGGAGCTGCCGGGTCGCTTACCGCGGCCCGACGCGGAGTAAAAATAATAAAGTGATGACTACAATCAAGACACCGGAGCCCGGCTCCATTTCCAGGCCAGGAGCGGAGAAACAAAATCTGGGTTCGCTGTTCCCCATCTGCCACGCCCATTCAAAGAAACCCATAACATGTGAAGTTGCTCTCGATTCCCTTACCTGCGTGTAGTCATTGTGCCCTGCCTTGTCCGCTTCCGAGATTTTACAGTCCAGGCCGAACAGCGCCGAGTCCTCCAGAGAGAAGGCGGCGGGCAGCGTCGCTTTCTGCAGCGGGTAGAACGGGTCCTCCTGCGCGCCGCTCATAGTCAGTGCTGCGGCCATGAAGCTCCGACGCAGGCAGCCCGGATGATCGCTCGTCCTGTTCTGCAGAGGAGGAGGAGGATGCTGCCGCCGCCGCTACAGCGCAGTGGGGAAGGAGCGCAGCCGGACGAGTCGCAGAGCGTGTGGCGGAGTAATTAATGTGTGCCTGTCGGCAACATCTCCTTCCACTTGTTCCATCCCTCCGGCCCGCAGACAGTTTTCTATCTCTGCGTAGGGCGGAGCGGCCCAGTGTAAATACGGAGCCTGCGCCGCCCATGGAAGCCTTGATTATTCATTCACCGGCCACCGCCCTTCGCTCCATCTAAATAAGCTCACAGAGGCGTCCTGGAACGTGCTGGGCCGGCCGGCCAGCCGGAACTGTGGAGAACATTTCATTTTTTTTCGCGACAGCAGAAAATACGCTCCACGTCTCTCAATTTTGTTTGCACACCCTGAACTGATCATCATTTTTAATTGTGAACGCTTTTTAAAAAAAAATGTACATTTCTCTTTCATCCTGCTTTAACAAGCTTGATATTATTTAAAAGTAGATATGTTTCAATTCCACTAACAGAAAGAAACTAATGCTCACACTAAAACTGATTGATACAATTCATACATGTTGTCCCCAGACACTAAGTCACAGCCAGTGGAAACCCAAGATTCACATGGAAGTTAACCCTAACCCTGAGTCCAAGACGTTATCTTACATAAGACCAATAGAAAATTATTATTTTTGAAAACATAAAGTTATGTCCGGCATAATCGTTGAAAACTGCTGACTTGACAGTTGTGAACTAAGCAGTAAAATGTATTTATTAAAGAAGCTGGTCATTCATAAAGTGATGCATTTGAACATATTTGTGGAAAGTTGAGTGGAAGCAAAAAAACTGCACAAGAAACACGGAAAACTGCATCCCAGGGAAAGATTATAAAGGAAAGCCAATTCAAGATTTTTCCATTTAAGATTATTTCCTGTTTCTCAAATGTAAGTAAATACTGACAGTTAAGAGTAGACCTATGTCTTTGACGTACCTTAACAGGTATTTGCATCCAGGAAATATACCACTGGGCCAACAGACAACAAATGTATACATTTACATTTGTTCAATGTGATTATGAATTGCTATACATAAATACACTATATATTTGGTTTGGTTTATAAGATATAAATAATCTGTAGAACATGTCTCAGCAATAAGGTAAATCAAAGTGTTACATGCTTACAATAAAAAAACCAAAACCTTACATTGCAATGGTATAACGAATGAATGTAAAGAGCAGATGGGACGGACTAATGACGATATTTTACTTAAAATAACGGAAACAGATGTTTTAGCCTTGATTTAAAAGAACTCGGGGTTGCAGCATTTTTGCAGTTTTCTGGTAGTTTTTCCAGACAGCCTTTGAGATACTTAATTTTTCCTTAGTAAAAATGTCAACATCAATTTTTTGGGTGGAAAAAGACCCTTCTTTGCCTTACAAAAGTAATCATTCCCTTAGTTCGTATGGTCGCACTAGATTTTATTTAAAGGTAACAAACTACAGGGGCTAGATACAAAAAAGGACACACACACACACACAAATCCTTTTACATAAAATTCCAATGAAATACATTGATGTTTGAGATAATAATGTGACAAAAAAGTGCCTAGGACAAGTGTGCTTTTACTAGGATTTTGCTTTGTTCATTGAGTCAGAAGCCATTATTCAGTCCGGTTCTTGCACAGCTTCTGATGACAAAACTCAAATGTGCTTACACAACCAAACCAGTGATTTCTTGACATCATAAAGTCATCATTAATCTGCTCAATCTCTACAGTCAAAAGAAAAACACTAAAGGTCACTTAGGAAACACCATGAGTCATGTCAACCAGGAACTGGAAGCTATATTTGCACCATTTTGTACTTAATATTTTGAAGTGTTAACAGAAAACAGTTGAAAATGTCGCAGCCCGGCTTTCACAGCAGCCGTGTGACTGAGTTTAATATGACACCAATCAGAACATGGTCTGAAATGATAAAGGCATGCCTAGTATGTCTATATTTAAAGCCAAAGGAGTTTCAGCTAGTGCAAATCAAAGGCTAAGGTTTCTGCAGTGTTGTTTGTCTGTAGCAACCAGCAAGTGTCGCCAGAAAAAGATGAGGAATGAACAGTGACAAACCAAATGCTGCCAACATAAAAGGAATTCTGGTGCAATTGGTGAGTAACAGTACAAAAAAAAAAAATAAAAAAAAAACTCCAACACAGATAGAAATTGGTTCTAGCTTTGTATTTGAAAAGTTGTTAAAAAGTAACACAATTTACAAGAAAAAACAGATTTAGAGTCCTGAAATGTAATTGTTTAAATCCTGAGTGAGTGGCGTTGTGTGAATTCTTATTTGTGTTTCTGCTTTGGCCTTTGGTACCAATCAGGAGCTTCTTTTTTGGTCTGCAAACAAAACAGAGAGAAGAAATGTATAAAAACTTCATTGATTTTCTTACGAGACACCTACCGATGAACCAATTAAGACTTTTCATGGCTGACACTAACGTCTGTTTTTCTTTGAGGTCTGACATGGCCGTTCCAATTTTTTTCTAAAGTCTACAGATGAAATAAAAGTACTATAGGTTCTCTGATAGCAAAAAGTTGTTTTGAATCTGAAAGAAATTGAAGGAATTACAAGGTAATTCCTATTTATTGATTAAGAAGTGTAAACATCCTCGTTAAAGTACGACCTTCTCTCGAGTGTCACACACATAATGCGGTGCGTATCCCTGTACAATTTAGAAGTGAAAACCACAGCTAAGAACTTACAGAAATAACAGGGAGAAGACTGGAGGAGCTGCAGGGATTCCTAATGAAATGAGTCTTCAGTTTTGTTCTACATGCGTCAACAATCTCCTGCATTCTCCAAATGTCTTGACTAGCAAGTAGGTTTAAAATAATGAATTATATCCTGGGATTATGAATTAAAAACATCTAAGATTTGCTAATATCTCCTAAAGCCTTGTGGGACAATGTGACGAAACCAAACTTAAAACCTAACCACAACAACAAACTTAGAACAAATGGTATGTCTTTCTTTCACCACAAGGGAACATGGCGGTGCTGGTTTTCCTCCGATGAAACTGGGGTTTCGTCGTCAAAGTAGGTGAAAATGTAAATAGCTAACACTGGTCATTTCTTTGCCCCAGACCTTCAGGCTTTGGACATTGTCAAATGTAGTTCTGGAATCTGGCTCAGATTCCAGAACTACATTTGACAATGTACATGGTCCGAGAAGATTAAATGGTGATTTAGCAGAATCATTTTAAGGGTGTGCACACTTACACAACTGGTTTATTTCATCTTCCAGCTTGGCTTGTTCTTGTAACAGATCGTTTGAGAACTAGTTTTCACTCCTAAACTTTAACTGGTTTTCATTAAACTCCTAAAAGTGCTTCAAAGTGCATGCTGTTGATTGACATGTTTATACAGCAAAGTTGTTAGATTTTATGCAATTATTGAATAGGGGAGAAAAAAGAATTTTACTCTTTAACCTACCGATCATCGCTCAGTCTATATTCGGACTACTAGTGGTTTGGCATCACTTCTGGGACTTGTTCCAGAGCTCTTCTCTACTCAGATGGACTTCGCTAAAGAGCTTAAATGAAATTAACCACAACCGGTCTTGGCTAGGATTTTCTTGAAAAAGAGATGTTTAATCTGAAAGGGATTTTTCTTGTGAAATAAAAAAGGTTAAGAGTAATAATAATAAAAAGAACAGGAAAGCAATTAATTATTTAATGTCAGACTCGAGTGTTCTTTTGTCTCAGCTTTTGTCCCAGCTGGTTAAATTGGTGTGACTCATTAAAGGGTGTGACCAACGCTTACAAAAACAGTAGGTTTGGGCTTGTCTGACGATTCCTCATCGTTGGTCCCGCCGACACGTTTGGACTTCTGCTGTGCTGTTCCAGAGGGCTTCGTACCGCTGATACCGGTTCCAAACAGGTCTGGGTGCACTGTCCCCCGCATGCTGATCAGGGCCTGCTTCATTATTGCCAACTCCTGGAGAGTTGAATCCGAAAAAATGATGAAAAAATAATAATCTGTGTAGATGTAGGCACTTGATCACTAAACAGAAAAGTATGAAGCTGCACAGGGGGAAACGCTCTTTTATATTATAAATTAATCTTCTCCTTTGTCATATTTACTTAAAAATCAGTAGTGAAGAATCTGGACTGTAAAACAGTCCAGCGAGCTTTGAGGGTCTGCAGAGGTGCTACCAGCAGGACCGAGGGGGGGATAATTTCACGGTTCTATTTCTCACATCTGAGGACATGAGCCTCGGCATGTCACATACATGCATAAACGCACACACACACACACACGGACACGCGCGCACAGACATGCACACACATCATGGTGGCATCCCAAACAGCCGAGCTGAGGAACAGCTGTCTATGACGGTGCACATACTTTGTAAAGCAAACGGCTGGATTGGAGACACACTCCGATGTGTACACATACACACACAGTCTGACAGGAAGGACTGCGACACACAGTGTGATAAACAGAAGAAATGAGTCAAGCTTATCAATTAGCTGATTAAATGAAACTTGATAATATCTAACTACTTGGTCAATTATTAATATCTTTTTCACACAAATTTTTGTTCAAATGTGAGACATTCTTTCTGTTTGAAACAAAAAAAAAGTTTAGTGAAGTCAATTCTCCACAGTTTGGTTAAATGTTTGATATATTTATAGAAAATAATTTTTTTTTTATTGTTTTAGATATAAGGCCAAAGGTCTGGTCAAGTTTGTTTCAACCAGACAAGAATCTAAAACATACAAGTTGGTTTTGAAAAAGATAAAAATAAGCTAACTTGAAAGATCTACAATAACCTTTGAGAAACACTACTTAAAATTTCAGAATTGTGCTTGAAAGTTGTGTACTGGTATAAAAATGACCCAGTGTGTGAATGAACTATGTCAATTCTGTTAATGAGAACAAATAACAGGATTATAACAGAAAGATCGTTAATCAAGAAGAGCATGTGGCAGACGTGTTTCAAGAAATTTAACTTTATATTGGTGGAGGCGTAAAACTTGTAACAAAAAATTATAATAAAAAAAATTGTAAAACATAGTCATCTAATACAATTAACCTGCCATTGCAGGCATACATGCAGTTACTAAATATGTCCATGAAAAGAATACTGTTTAATTACGTTGGTGGATCAATGCCCATTTCAAAAAGGGACAAGAGGAAACGTGTGCAAGATCAATCTATCTAAAAATTCCTATTCTTATAACTTGTATGTGATTATCTCCCATTTAGCTGACGACCCAGTAAATTTCTCCTGCAGTGTTGAACGTTTTCCTCAAGTAAAACAAGAAACAGTAAATTATGGAGTAGAAATGTCTCACCACGATTAACCAATGTATTGTGTATATCAGACCAAAGAATGTGATTTAAATGCTATAAAAGAGTTACTGTGCTGGCTATAATTTGATTGAATGAAGCAATTATGAACAAATTTACTGCATAACAGATATAAATCAGGGCAGTCAGGAGTACAGAACGACAGCACTGCTTCCTTCCTCTAATGCAGGAACTCACTCATTCATTTACTCCTGTTACACATTTATTCTGAGGATTAAAGGACATTTTTGTTTTTTATGTGTTCATGTATGCTCACAAGATGTTTGTCCTTGAAATTGACATCTCAAGCGGAGGGGTGTTGGATATGTAACAAATATGAATCTGTTTGTGTATATAACCACAATTCTTTACTGTTCCTATCAAACTTTTGGTGTATTTCCCACAAAACAAACTGGGAATGAAACAAACAAACAAAAAAAAACATTTTCTGTGGATGCACTGTGTTAGCAAAGCAGGCTTTGGCCTTGAATAGCATAAATTTCCACATATGGTAAGGGTGAGTTTTGTGACTATCCAACTGAAAACACAAATAAAAATGTTTTTAACTCCTCTTTCAAAACTCATTCAAAATATTATTATGTTCATTACCTCTCTGTTGTTGAGAAGTCGCTCCAGGTCGGCTGCCATGTCATTCTTCACTTGCTGCAAAGCATTTCGCTCTTTCCTCAAAGAACTGCGGGCGGAGAACATTAACAAATCAGATCACATAGAAAATGATTTCTGTAATAGCACACAGTTTTCTGAAGCACCTCTTGTAAAATAGTCATATTTGCAGCAGATATTTGCATTTTGATTCAACTACATTTCAGTTGTTTACAGTGTCAGCAAGGATTAGGCTCAACATACTCATAAAAAAAACATATTTTCTTGCTCTGTTTTAGCCTTAAGGGAAAACAAAACCAAGAACATAAACCGAGTATTAAAGACAGGTGTTTGTTTGTTTCATCACCAGCTAATTATCAGAGTAAGTCACGAATTTTGAAAAAAATTACAACCAACATTACTGCGCTGTTAGCATTTTTCCATCTAGGTCTGTAAAACAAGCTGGAACTTGTGGCGGTGCACTAAAAAGCAAATCAATCTTAAAGCAACAGTCTGATCATCGTTCAAAGGAATCTGCAGGAAGAAGAAGAAGAAGAAAAAAAGAAGGATTTAAACTCGTCCTATCAAAGAGACCCAAACATGAAATGACAATCTCCTGAGAGCTCTGTCTCTGTTTGCAACAGATAGTCCTGCACAGCCACAGGGAGACTTCAGCTTCCCTGACAGATGCGAGGAGGATCGAGAAGCTTCACAGCGTTTAAAAAAAACGACTTTTTCTTTTTTTTTTGCCCAAGTCTCCTGCTTGCCCCAGGTGAGCGCTCAGTGGTAGCAATCAGCAAGCGAAAACCTGCAGTCTGTCAGCGTGCATATTTGTCAAGCAGCAAAGAAAAAAAAAACAGTGGGCAACAGCAGGAATATAGGTCAATACCAAGCAGGTGCATGTGTATGAGACGGTAAAACGGGCTCTATCTGATAGAGAGAGACAAACGATCAGAGATGAAGATAAAGTAGAGATGCCCAGGAAACGGGGAGATACGGCAGGTGAAGAACAGCTTACAGAAGGAACGCAGCTTCCACTGAAAGACGCATGCATACGTTCACGTATACGTTCATGCATGTGTCGAAGAAGACGCACCTGACGTCGTCCTCGAGAGAGGAGACGTGCTCCCTCAGTGCGCTGATCGCCGCATCCTTTTCTCTCACCGTCTCGATCAGGAAGCTGTAAGGCTGCTGAGTCTGCTGCAGCAGCTGGTTGGCCGCAGACAGCTGGGGTTGAAAACACAAATGCCAGAGCAGTCATTTTATTTTGTACATTTCTTCGTGAAGGATTTGACTTTGACACTGCATGATAAAATCTTGTCCGCATTTTGTTGCATTGGAATTTTATGCGGTGGTGCAACAAAAGCGGAAGGGAAAGCACTTTTGTTTCTTGGTTGATTTTTGCACAGTATTTAAATTGTTTATTATTCTCAAATAAGATTCAGTTTGACCTAACTGAATAATTTTCCTTGGTAAAGTATCATTCATATTAGCAGGGATGAGGAATCGACAGAAAAGTGCCCTCCCCCGGACGTACCTCGGTTGTATTTTCAACTAAAAGCATCTGCAGTATCTCTAGGTCACTGTAGTTCTTAAAATCAACAAATAAAGTTAGGCTGTTACACATTAAGCCGTTTTTATTGCAAGTCAGTAGTGAATACTGGCTAGGTGGGGAAAGAGAACAATAGTGAGTTAGTCAGGGCATCTGTGTGGGTGGCTAAGAGGGTAACACCCTGGCTCTTTTCAGGTGAAAAGGAAATTTCATTTTTCACTCTTTTCTTTTATACTCGATGAATCATGAGGTATTTCAGACAGGTACAAGTCAATCTCGGCTGACAGCTGAAAGCCGGGCCTATTTAGTCTCCAATCTGGCCGGCCATTCCACTCTGACTTTGCACAAGCTTTCCTCAGATTAACTAAGCAGCGGCAGCGAGTGAAAAAAAAAAAAGAAAAAAGTGAGCACACCGGCAGCTTGTAGCTTCAACCCTCAACGGAAGACTTTGAGACATCGGTGCACGAGTGGCGGCCACGTGACCGCCAAGTCCGACGCGCAAATCCAAGATTGAAGCCGTATTGTTGTTGCACGCACAAGAACGCACACGAGTTGCCAAAGACAACAACGGCTCAGTGATCAGTGCGAAGAGTTTGTCTAGAGAGTGAAGAGCGATGCTGTCATGGTTTTTGACTCCATTTTCCATTCATCGTGTCAACAAGTGTGACAGGTACAGAGACTGGGCTCATACAAACTCTGATGGTGTCTATTGTCAGGTCTTGAACAACTTGTCATTTTCCTGGCTGCGTTTTAGAAGTTGGAAAAGAAAAAAACAAAAAAACAAAAATGGCTTTAAAGACTCTTACTGATAAGTGATGTGGTGAGTGATGATATCTAGTAAAAGTTGTGCATGTAGTAGGATGAATAAAATATGTTTTTGTTTGACTTAACTGTAAGACCAACAGATGATTAAATTTGTTGCTTTTGATGTTATTGCTTTGATACTGGTAAACTTCCCAGAATTCCTTTGAAGTTTCACGTTGTCTCAGGTGTTACTGTATATTTATGTAATGCTGGACTGACGCAATGTTGTTATAATTGCAGCTCAGTGGCTGTAATAACATCTGCTACAGTCTGATGGTCTCCTGTACACCCAGGATATTTTGTGTGACAGTACAACTACAAAAATGGAACTTGTTCACACTGTTCAGATTTTGCAACGTACTTGCACTCTAAAGGCTTTTCGTCGCCTGTATTTGTTTTAAAAGAGCAAAACTCTGTTTTACAGCAACTGTACTCGCACACAGTGTGACGTCACCTCTGTGTTTAATACAAATAATTAATGAGAAATAATAATAATAAAAAAAGGAAGAAAAAAAAAAGTTTCATGTTGTTCCGGTATCTTTTTATACTTTTAGTTTTAATCAGAATCCAGCTCTGATTGGTAAAGAAATGCTAAAAGATGCTACATGTTAGCATTTTATAAGGAAGCAAAGTGAAACTAAACTTCAAGATGCAAATTCTGACTTGTAAGAATCTGGTTTGACTCTTGACTTATTTGTGGTTGCAAATCAATCTGACATTGACAGCTGTGAAGCAACCAGAGTCTGCATTACTGTGGGAGAGTCCTGGTGGTGAGAAAACAAGCATGTTGGCATGCATCTGCTTGATTCTATTTGCCAAAAACATTAATAATACATTAGATTTGTTCCAATGAAGATGTTCCCCAGGCAGACACACACCTGTGGATGCAGTGTGTGTTTCTCTGTGTGAGTGTACCTCCTGAGACATCTGTCCTATCTGGTTCTGGTGTCTGTCCAGGTCCCTCCTCAGTGAGGTGTTCTGCCTCTCGAGCTGCAGCACCCGGCGAGCCAGATGAACGCTGAGTAACAGAGGAACACACACACACACACACACGCACACACACACACACACGCGCACGCACACACACACGCGCACGCACACACACGCACACACACGCACACCCACACACAGCTATAGAGCTTAAAACATTGACAAGATCACACTCGTCTTCATTTACATATTATAGGCTTATAGGCAGTCAAAGTTTCAGGATTTTCAAGAACAGACAGATAACGTGTTGAAATACACTGGAACTCTAACAATTAAGGGAAGTTTAACCTGAAAAGAAGCCAAATGTTCCTCTGAGACAGTGGCTGGGATTGAAAGTGGTGTTTTAAAGGATGCTTCAAGGTTTCAACATCATTGAACAGATTTTCGTTCAACTCCACCAGATTTAAATGAAAACACAGTTGATTGTGGCATTAATAGTGCTACTGCATAGAGGGGAGACACTGACCAGTGACAGAAATTAAGGTGAATATACCGACTCAAGTTTAAAACACTTTTTATGAAATTTTTTTTTCTTATGTTGTGCAAAGAAAACAATGAATGAGACGTGTGGTATCTTGTACTTTACCTTTGCTTCAGTCTTCTTTTGGCCGTTGTGGGAACATTTGCGCCGTATCCGTATGAAAACAGAACTCTCTCTGCCTCCTCCTCATTCTCAACTGGTAAGATGCAAATGCAGTTTATAAATATCTCCAAATACTAGCATAACATTTGTTTCTTCGCTCGGTGCAGGTAAAAGTATATCTTAGTAAACCATGAGTATATATGAGAAATTAGGTTCTTAGCGCACAACGTAGCCTGCCATAAATGTGCAGGCTAGTTAACAGCCACCGTTGACGACGTAAAAAATTGTTTTGCTGCCATCAGCACAGTTACAGCATATACACGAGCTTGATTGACAGCGCTACGACTCTCCTCTTGGCTCTGATTGGTTGTTTTTAAGCGAGAGCCACATTTCTGCACAAATAGAAGCGCTGGGAGGAGGTGGAGAAATTCAAATGTTTCACAGATTATCTGTCACATATTATGCTGTCACAACATCTTGGTCAGATTTAACTACGTAAAAAAACATGTTTCTGTCAAACTTACATAATGTAGCTTTAAATAATATAACATCTCATAGAGTTCCCCGTATTTGCCTTTAAAACCCCCTTTAGCCAACTTTAATTTCCTGAGGGAGTCTTCCCAAGGGATCAATAAAGTACAAGTCTAAGTCTCTAAGTCTATATTTATTTTGATATTTTATCATTGTTCCCCACAAATTGCCACAGTCTCTACTGCAGAACTTAGATTTATGGCTTTGAACGTTCCTGTTCGTTTTGTTTTTTTTTACTTCCTGTCTGAGCAGCGGCAGAGCTTTTAGCTTACTTTCAGCCGCCTGCATGGTGACCTGGTCCAACTCTTGCTCCAGCTTCTCGTACGTCTCCAGTCGGGACGCCTGCTCGGCATTCTGGGCTTGAAGCTCCGCCACCCGCTTCTCAGACGATGTTTGGAGCCTGTAAAACTCCTGAGTCAATAACTGAGAGAAAGAAAGATCAAGAGGAAGAACAAACTTTATTTGCACTATTTTCTGCAACTGAAATTAAAATCAATGTGATGAAGCAAATGAAACATTTACTTGGATAAAGCTCTTCTCATGGTAGATACGAAGCAATTAAAGGGACAGGCACCACGTCAAAACACCAACAACAATCATTTGCTGCATTGGAATTAAATTAAAAATGTGATCTTTTGCTTAAAACGTGAACACCACCTTTAGCATCAGTGTAGCCTGTCTACCTGTAAAACCAGCATGAGTGGCATGTCGGAACAATACAAATTTTATTCTGAAAAATATCCCAACTCCAACAAAGGCTTCATCAAGATAAACTAAAACGCCTGTGGGTGGGAGCAGTCGGATGTTGAAATACAACTGCAAGCTCAGATGCTTTTGAACGGTTCTTCAGAAAGAAAACCGGTGCCCCAGCAGGAAGTTCAGACTTCAAAATGAATACTTTGGAAAAGTTTGGTTATGTAACACAGGTGAGCATTAGACGGTCTTAATTTCTGTCACAATCAATCAATCAAGTTTATTTGTTTAGCACATTTCAGCAACAAGGCAGTTCAAAGTGCTTCACATCACAAAGACACAAAAACACAAAGTCAAAGAAGACACCACACAGTCAAACAATTTGAGAAAACCAGTAAACATTACATTTTTGCAAATGCCATAATTACACATCAAAAGGTTTCATTTACTATGGTTCAAAAGCAAATTTAAATAGGTTGGTTTTTAGTCTGGATTTCTGTTGTTTTCTGGAAGTTTGTTCCAGATATGTGGCGCATAGAAGCTGAATGCAGCTTCTCCATGTTTGGTTCTGCTTCTCGGGTCACAAGTTATTGCAAAAAAAAAAAAAACATAGGGGATCATTTCAAAATGACTCTGTTGCTATTGAATAACAGAAATTTGTGCATGTCTGAAAAGGAGGATTTTGTCCAAAAAATAGAAACTGAGCCGAACATCATCTAGTAATTTGATTTGACTGCTGTGGCCTTAGAGGAGATCACACACGTGTCTGACAAGAAAACTGAGATGTGATGCCAAATCACTCCATTTTTGCTGTTTTTTTTTTGTTTTTGGAGTCTGAGTACCTCAAGCTTCTTCTGCTGTTTCTCACACTCCACCTGGCACTGAGCTAGCGCCTTCGCCGTCTCTTCCTTGAGCAAGTGAGCGCGCTCGGCTTCGAAGGAGTGCAGCTTGGCCTGGTTGGACAGCTCCGCCACCCGGCTGTCAGTGCCCAGCTGGAGCTGACGAAACCTGCAGAATAAGAGCAGTGAGAGAACACATGTGACTACACGCCCCGATAAATAACTGCGAGCACGTGGACGCAACAGAAAAAAGAAAAGAAAAAGAAAAAAGAGATTACGGGCTTTTGTGCGGAGAGATTAAGGCGATCTGTGGAAACAAAACGCTGTAGGTGTTTTACAGGAGCATTTAACACGAAATCCAACCTCGGCTTTAAGCTGCCTGGTCGAGCAGGCATATCGAGTGACTAAAGAAATGAACATCCAGGTCACATGGCATGCTGTCTCGCCTCTCCATGTTTGGAAATTGGCAAAATAAATAAATAAAAAATAGATGGCTTGGTATGCCTTGAGCAATAAACAGTCCATGGGAAGCACTTAAGTGGCATCCACGTTTGGCAGTAAACCATATTACATGAGAGAACCTCACAGGTAAGCCAAGCAGTAAATCATTCCCCAAGACCGCTTTAAGCACATTTTAATCTTGTTTGATCTTTGGTTCTTCTGCCTGCCATCAGCACGGTGTTTGGCTCTTTAACAATTTATTGAAACGAAGAAAAGGAGACAGGATGTGGAGTGTTGTAAAAAGGGAATTGTCTCCTTAGAGATTTCCTTCTTCTTTTTTTTTTTTAAGAAAAACATAACATGAATATGCACAAAAGACAGTTTTACAACAAGAAACTCATCAGTTAAGGATTAAAAAAAAAAACCATCCAGACCAATCTGGAAGTGAACCACCCTTGTTGAGTCATGAACGCTGACCTTAGCTGAAGCATTTTAGGCATGAAGTGCCTTACACATTAGTCTGGGTTCTTTTGTGAACCCTTGATGAGTCATTAATGCTTGTGGAGTAATTCTGATTGGATGGCTACTCCATAATTTCTCCATTGCTGAGGGAAAACGTGTGGCTTTGAGGAAGCGAGAAGCCTGAAAATGACTTTGTGACCCTTTTCGGACTGATGCATGTCAATTCAATTGTTTCCTGCGTGTTCTTGAATTTCCATAAATCATCTTTTGTTTAGTTTTTTTTGGTCAATTAAGAGTCATTGGTCCGGATTAATTTGTGTCTTTCTTGATTCTACAGGTCAGGCAGTCACGAGGCCCCGGGTGTTGGCCAATGAGTTCGATCTCAGGTTAACTCTGGCACAACCGGCCAATTACGTTGAGGAGGCAAACACTTTTCTCAAAGGCGTGGCTGGGTTTGGGTAACTCTTTCACTTAAATAACGAAATAGTTATTAGAAAACTGTTTTTTAATTTTACCTGGCTTATTTCTGTCTGATATTCAAATTTGTTTCACAAACTGACAAAAAAAAGTATGTCATTTATTTATTGTTTTTTTGTTTTAGATGAGTAGACATTTCATGTTCTCGAAAGAATATATTTTCCCCCAGAATTATTATTTCATTCTCTTTAACTGAGAATATGTTGCTTTATTTATTTACACAAAATTGGGTTTTATCTTCGATATCAAATAGCTTAAAACTTTTTATTTTCTCCAGTTGGAAATGCTCCTCAAGCTGCGCTCAAGCACACCGGCACAGGCTCCATCAAGCCGTGGTGGACGGCTGGATAATATTAATAACTTTCGATTACAGCTGACCTGATGAGATTTCATCACCCACGGAGGGCAGGCTTGAGCTGTGCGCTCACACGGACAAGTACACATGGTTGAAATTTTATGCCTTCTTTTATAAATGGCAGCTGCCATCTCTGAGCAAAGAAGCTCCACTTTCCGATGGTAGAAACCACCCCCCACAAAAAAAAAAAAAAAAAAATTTTTAAGACACCATGTTGATTTTCTTTTATTTTTAAGATAAAAAAAAAAAAAAAAAAAAAAAACATAAGTGCATCGATATTGAGACTCAGGAGGATTTGGCAAAAGTAACTTTTAGCTTCCTGTGAAGGGGAAAGTGAAAACTGAACAAATGTTGGTATTTATTCGTTTAAGGGAAAGCAGGCGGTGCGTTAGCCTGTGTAAGGAGGCGCAGCACGAACGTCTGAGCTCGCACTCGGTGTCTGACGCCTTTTCAAGCCGGACCTGCTCATTCTGCGCCCCAAAAATAGTGGCATGCGTCGGGTTAGGGGTTAAGGGCTTGAGGCTAGCATCTGTCACTGCTGGCATGCGATGCGACGCAGTGAAAGAATGTGATCGCGGCAGAGAGGGAGAGCGAAGTTTATGTGTGTTTGAGTGCATGGAAACACCAGCAGCTGGTGGTTAGGATTCGGACAAATGACTGGCATGCAGTAGTAACGCAGGGCAGGGACGCTACCGCTGCTGTTGTTGCTGCTGCTCTGTGTGCCTCCATAGTGCCTTCCAAAAGCATTCACAACGTTTAACCCTTTTCTTTTTTTTCTTTTACATCTTGTCATATTACATTGACAAACACTGAGCTTTTGACTGGGAATTTATGTGACAGACCAACACAGAGCATAACTGTGTTCGATTTTTTCTTTTTACAGATAAAACAAACAAAAAAAAAAAAAACAATGACAACTTTCACTTTTTGGGTTTGAAGTTGTGTCATCGCTTTTATTTTCAGATGATATATTGGCTGGTTGGACTGTTATTTTATTTATGGGTTTCAAACTAAATGGGGTTAAAAACACATCCATGCCACACTTATCAGAATTGAAAGTGATTAATCTTTTTTTGTTTGGTTGGTTTTTGGGGCCATTTGAAATGTATGTCCTGCTACTTTATGACGAGGCCTATGACAATAACAAATTTTGCTGGACCACAAATTGTCCCAGTAATTATTATTGCGATAAGCCAATAAACTAAATTTTAGCTGAACTGAAAAAGCAATAAATGAAACAACAGACAACCAAAAGCATTAAAAAGATGAATCACAATGTTTTTGTAAACAAGATTGCTCTTCACAAATATTAATGATTGAGCTTGTTTTAATTTAGGCTTACTCAAGACAAAATAAAATCCACAGTAAAATGAATCAAAATGCACCAGATAGAATGGAAATCAGGAAGTCACATCTGCTCCCATAAAAAAAAAAAAAAAAAAAAAAAAAATCCAAGTTGAAGATATGTCAGCAAGCACGTTTGTGTGTGAAATCTCAGAATATCTTTTGCAACTCCAAGACTCGAAATTTCCAAGAAGGCCATGACCCACAGCGGGACATTCAGGGTCTAAACTGACACGGAAATTGTTGCCTGTAGCAGCGACAGACACTAATTACTGGGGGAAATAACTAAAGAGCAACATTTACTTGCCTTCTCAAACCCAGCAAGTTTCAAAAGGATCCTGCGGTCAAGCTGGCAGTTAAAATCTCCAGCTTATGAGAGTGAGATTTTTCAGCAGTGAGTCTTCCTGTTTTACCCTCCGACTTTCTTATGACCTCTTGAGTTCTAGTAAAGTTTTCATATGGTTATTTAGAAAGACCCGGAAAACCGCAGCCGCCTACGTAACGCCAGGCAAAATGCTTTCACCAGTGACAGACTGCAGCTGATAAACACAGGGATTGGAGCTGAATATTAACTAATATGATAAAGATATCTGCTCAACTATTTAAGAACACATGTTTTAGTTTGTTTCTTTCTTCTTCTTTTTATTTTTTGTGATAGCCAAACCGCCAATATATCAATGTTTTGATGACTAACAGACACGAGATGGGAAAACATTTTCAGAGATTACGAAGGGAATTCTCAAACTGCAGAAACACATAATCTTACTAATCATTTTTGGTATAGTTTGTAGTGCAAATGCCTCAGTACACTTCAATTAGGATGACACAAAACTAACAAGTAACTTTTCAGCAAGATACAGGAGGTTGTTTTAACTAACACCTCCTTTATATTGATTTTATAAAAGCAGATTATTTCACTTATAACAACATATTTTTCCCATAAGTCAAATGAACCTAGTTATTTTAAAAAATAAGTATTTACTCAAATCAAGCTCCTACATTTTCCTGAAAAGTTATTTGTAAGTTAGTTGTGTCTTATTTCAAATCTACTAGAAACTAAACAAAAGACACTTGGGAAGGTTTTGTATGTTTGCAGAGCCCTACAGGGGCAAATTCTTTACCATCTATGACAGACGTTAAATTAACGTTGCAAAGCTTTTAAAATGTAAAACGCCACAATTGTGTTTGTCTGAAAAAAAGTATTATGCATTTCCACAGAAAGGAAGCACAGAGCCTGGAAAACTGGTTCCAGTTGGGAAGAAAATTCCTACTGAAGCCAGGATCCAGAGCTTCTTGACATCTTTACCAACTGTAAAGATGGTAAAGATCTCGAGCTTATACTTCCCTCCATTATGAAAAATATAACAGATAAATTACATTTAACTTGCCTTATAGTGAAGCAAATGAAACAAAATATTAGTTAAAGTTTCACAGCTATTTTATGTGACTTCCCTGCATTTTACAACAAGGTTACCCAAATTTAAATCTCGTCATAAAGTCATCTTCAAAGCTGCGGCTACTGACATATCTCTTTCATGACAAGAATGTTTGGATTTTAATTGCGTAAACAAAGAACAGTGAGCGAGTTTTATTCTTTCCACGAGGATTAGACAGGAAAGCAAAATGCCGCTCTGTCCCAACTCTAATTCACACAGGAACACAAACAATGACTAATAAATGACAAAACAATTCCTCCATCAAAATAAAAGTGTGGAAAAACAAACCAACGTCAGAATGGTCAGTGTGGACGAATATAATTCAATGGCTGCTGGTGAAATTTCGGATGCATTTAGGGTTTTAAGAGGAAGGCAGAGATCCAGTGGAGAAAGATGAACACACCAGTTATCAGATGAGAACTTAAACTACAGAATTTTTTTCCTCTGCAAGTCTTGTGGGGCCGTTTGGAGAGTTAGCCAAAGCAAACTCCTGAAGCAAGAAAAAAAGCAGAGTTTCGCTAACCTCTCGTTCTTTTTTTTTCTCACAAGCCTAACAGATCATGTGAAAGAGTGTTTTGGATAGAGATGGATAACATAAAACTCATCACCTTATTTTGCTCATTTAAAACTCCAGGAGAGATTTGAAATAACGTTTACATAACCACGAATTTAAACACAAATTGGGGTGTTTGACGCTGAATGGGACTTGCTGAGTTTTAACCGCTGGAGTGATTACAAGCAAGAGTTTACAGGAAGACGAATTAATGTGGAAATATCAGTCGTAGGTTATGGTTTTCTCACCGATCCATCCCTGAAGGGAGACTGCTGTGAAACTGAGACATGTGGTTTTTCAACACACTTCCAGTAAAATGTTTTCCCCTCCGGACAAAAAAAACAACAGCAAAGGATTGTCCAGTTCCCGGATGTTCAGTTCTGTTTGTCCACATTTTATGATTTGTCTATTTGGGGTAAAGTTTGTCCAAAACTCAAGTAATGCCCTCCATTTCTCCACAGAATTGCAATCAATAAGTGAAAGTTAGGCTAAATTATTTCTGACTGTAATACATATATTACAATCATACACCAATGGTTCCTCAATGGAAATAAACACTTTTCATCCTCCAGAGTGAATAAGCATGGATTTAAGATAACTAAACAGAAAACTGTTTCCTGCTAATCAAGCTGACTCTGAGACAGAATACAGAACGACGATAAGGACTCACAAAAACCTGAATGAGCAGCAGAGGTAGATGCCACATTAATTTTTTTTTTTTTTTTAAAGCATGCGCTACGATACAACTTCGCTGTTTTCCGATGCATGTGCCTCATACTTTGAAGAAAAACTGAATTTATGTGTGGCGAGCGCGTGTGACTGATAAAACTCACTGCTCCAGCAGCTGGTCGTATCTCGCCTGAGCCTCCTTCTCGGCGGCGGCGGTTCGGTCTTTCTCCAGCACTGCATTGTCTCTGGCTTCGCGCAAATTCCTGCAAACAGAAACCAACAGACAGGAAGCTCTCACTTACTGGGAAAAGTATGTGCAATTTGCCGTTTCAGCAAACAGTGTTGCAATTAATGAAAGTAAATATGTAGGCATTCAAGAATGAGGAAACACGGCTTGAAAAGTAAAGCTGTCACTCAGTCAGAGGGCCAATTATGCAAATTCTGACAAGCGATTACAATAAAATCAACGAGGAATCAAAATACACATTCTCAAGATGTCGACTGTATTTAAAATGTAGTATTAAATATGTCAGATGTGTTCAAATTGAAACAGACTGGTACCTGTTCTCCCTCTCATACAGTTCTCTGGAGGTTCTCTGCAGGTTCTCGATCTCCTGACTGGTTTTCAGTCTGATGTTCTCCAACTCCTCTCTGAGCTTCTTCTCGTACTCTGACTTATAGTAGTCCCTGTGGTGGACAAAAAAGAACAATGTAAGATTAAAAGCTGTAATTTGTTTGGCCAGACGTTCTCTTCCGGATAACCAGAGTGAGAGGAAAATGTTTAAATGTTTTAAGTAAAGTTTCGCTGTTTAGCAGCAGAAATAAAGTGGAACATGAGCTTTCTGTGACTGATGTGAATCTGACCTGGATGCTACATATTTTTCATATGTGTTCTCCCTGGCTTTCTTCGCATCTTCCAGTTGTACCTGCAGAATAAAAACAGGAAGTAGGAGCATGTCATGTGACCACCTCCCGCTCCCAAATGCTTTGTGTAAAGGACGAAGCGTCTCGGACCTGCAGTCTGTCTATGCGATCTTCTTGGTGTGCACAGCGGATGCTGAGCTCCATGTTTTGCCTGTTTAGGTACTCCTTGTCCTTCTGCAGGAGATTCGCTGACTGTTGCAATGTCGCCACCTGGTGGACGACGAGGTTAAAGGAGAAGGAGTCAATGAGTAGACCAAACGTTCAGTTGTCATGTTAGTTTGGGGATTCTAACGGTGCATTTGAACTTTTCTTTTCATTTTTAGGGTTCATTGATCATTTGACAATCTTATTGAGTTTCAAAAATAAAAAAAAAATTAATTCATCAACAATTCAAATATTTTACATCTAAGGTTTCCATACGCAGTTTCAATCCTTTCTTCCTCACTGCCTGAAATCAAATTTGATCAAACATATTTTAGCTCAATTAGGATTTTTTAATTTCTTTCAAATACTTTAGCAGAGATGTTGTCACACTTTCTTCAAACTCAAACATGTACACACACGTACTAAATAGCGAATGACATTTAAACCATATAAATTGGGTGTATGCGAAGCACCTCGTTGCTCAGCGTGTCCCGTTCTCTGGTCAGTGCAGCGTGAGACAAGTCCACCGTCTCAAACTTCCTCTTCAACTCCTTCAGCTCCGCTTCAAAGTCATCGCGCTCCCTGTGTCGTTACAACGGAACGCAAAACATGCAGCTTCATGGGCGCCATGCAAATGCAGGTTTTCAACATCGTGCAAAACATTATTGACGGAAAGATATTAGTTGCAGTTGCATTTAGAAAAGCTGCATCTGAAATAAGCTTCCGGATTGATCGAGTTTTTTTTCCTAAGCCATTGCAAATGTAAAGACTTTTGTGAAAGTTTGAATATGAGAAATACTTGCACTTTAAAACCTTCTCCATTATGATAGTTTGAAATAAAAGCGAGTTTGGTATAAAATGGAGCTAATGTGCTAATAAAGATCAAGTTAAGGACAAACAGACGGAACATAAAAGAAAATAGCAAAAATAAAAAATAAAATAAATAAATGACCTGATGGTACACAGCAAAATAAAAAGCCTAATATAAAAAGAACTAATAAGTGCTTCTTAAATGAAAGCACTTAATAAACATTATTCATACTAATTCCAAATAATAAATGTGAAGAAAATAATTCAAGTGGTACTTTTATGGCTTTTTGTACAACACAACTTCTCTTGAAGATATACACATGAAGCAACAAATTTAAAGATATTTATGTTTTGTATTTTCTTGTTTAATGGCTCATAAACTTCGTTCCCCAAAAGTTTAAATCTTTAAACCAGTAAAAAATATTCTTTATGAAATATAAGAAACAATATTAGCAGCATATAGCTTTTTAAGATAGTCTTTTTTTTTGCCAATACTGAACAGCTTAAAACCTCTAATCAAATGTTTTTCAGTATTTTTGCTCTAAGAAATATAAGAAATCTAGGTGCAGAAGAATCATCCCACACACACATCCTCACCGCTTGATGTTTGGGTAGTTCTCTCTGCGATAGTCGCCCTGCTGGATGTTCTGTTTGGTGTCGGCCAGCTCTAAGGTCAGCCTCTGGCTCCTCAGCTCCAGCTCGGCGCGCAGCCGCCGCTCTTCCTCGTAGCTCTGCGGGATATTGTCGAATACGGGCCAAATGTTGCAAATGTTTCAGAGATGCTCATTTCAAATCAGTGCCACAAAATCAAAAAAGTTGGCAAAGATCTGAAGATTTTGAAAGTGGAAAAATAAATTGTTGCAGAATATTGTTCTCTGTACAAGCAACAAAAGAAATATTAAGCAGCAAATGGATGTTTTTATAGAAGCTTTCTGTTTGAATGTAGAGTTTGTTTTTTTTTTAACTAAAATCAATAAATATCATAGAATCGATATAATTATACAGCCCTAAAGTCAATGAGAAGGAAGTTGAACCACATTGTTATCTTCTCGTTGCTATTTGTTACAGCTTGCTACTTTGGCTTCTCCCAGTAATATGTCTATTATATGTGGATAATTTCAAAAGATTGAAAATGAAGAGTGATATCATCTACCTCCATCAAAAGCTTCATCTTGTTTCTGTGTACATCCAGCTCCTCGGCCAAGTAGCTCCTCTGCTCACCGAGCTGAGCCAGTTGAGAGCGGAGAGGAGTCACAGCCTCATAGAAACGCATCTGAATTCATGGGACAAAGGGAAGCGTCGCCATGTTGCACATTTTCAGCCCTTTGAAAAGAGGGGTTCAACTATAAGGGGGAAACGCTCTGCCGTGCTTACAGCTACGTATTCCTGGATGCTGATTTTGTCGTCGGGCACGCCGCGGAGCTCCTGGTAGCGGTCCTGGGGAATGTCCAGATCTCGGAGAGACCGCCGCAGCTCTCCGGCCTTCTCACACAGCTGGCGGTTCGTCTCCTCCAGCTGCTGCTGCCTCAGCAGGATGGTCTCCATCTCCTGCTTACGCAGAGCCTGCTGCTTCCTGGTGAACACGGCGTTTGTTAGCACAGCTAACTCTGGCGTTAAGGCGCTCAACACTTCCTTCCCACAACGTTTTTTTGTTTTTGTTTGTTTGTTTGTTTGATGGTAAAATACCATCAAATAAGAAAAAGTAAAGTTTTACTTATAAATGAGGTTGGGTATGAGAGAGAACAAGAAATAAGACACTGAAGCTTCGATTCTTTTTTTTTTTTCAAATACTTTTTCGTCTCTACCTGATCTTCGTCTCTACCACAAAGTAAATAAATCTGTTGTGGAAAGCCAACAGATTTTGTGTGTGACTTTTTGCTTGGGAAAGAATGTGAGGACTGTGTTTCGTTTCCACTTTAACTGTGTTGGTCCCATCAAATAGCATGTTAGCTTGAAGCTGTAATGTGCTAAAAATTCAATGTATTTCAAATCATTTTGCACTTTTTCAAAGAACCACAAATAATCGTTAGTCTATTTGATCACACACATTTTTTTTAGTTACAAATATGTTCTCTAAAAGAAAAAAGACACAGTATCAGCAAGACAAAGGTGCATCATCTATAACTTCTACTCTTTCTTACTTGTTTTCTTCTTGTGCAAGCTTCAGCTGGCTGTCCAGTTTAAGGGCCAACACTTGTTTTTGATGTATGGCGTCGTTTAGCTTCTCCTCCAGTTCCTCAACCTGCAACATAAATTTGATCGATACACACAGAAGCATTTGAGTCTACCGAAAGATTAATACAGGGAGACAAATGTAAGTGGGTACTTTGCATCCGGTGAGCTAGACCTTTCTAGTCCCTAATGGTGATGTGATGCAAAAAATAAAAACCTTCCAGAAATGTCCTGCAGACATTGAACAAACTGTCGGCAAGCATTTCTGCTGGCTGAAATGACCTCACCTCGCTTTCAGTTCCTACTTTTTCATCAGCAGAAGTGCTCTATAGATGCTCTGTTTGATGGACAATCAATTTTTTTTTATTATTGCATGGTCACAAACAGAAAGGTAATCGAATAGTAATTTAATTTTAAATCAGCCAAACTAACATGGAAGTTTATTTGTACTGTTGTCGGCTAAGCTCTCTTGTATTTCAGGCCTGTTGTAATTGTTTAACATAAATGAAGAGACTGATTGATGAATTGAAATGGGTGCACTTGCAGGAGCCCTTAGAAACTGCTTTAAGTCTTGTGCGATGCCATCAGCAGCATGCGTGTGAGAAAGCCTGGTTTTTTGTAAAAGTAGATGTTTGCAAAAAAGCTGTAAAATAAATGGGCTTTTTGTTCTTCAAGTGGCAAACTGAATCTAAAGCGCTGAGGCACGTCCACCTCAACTCTGATCAGTTTACCTTGGACATGTGGTCAGCCTTCATGTTGTCTATGATGAGGTTCTTCTGAGAAAGTTCTATTTTCAGCAGCTGGAGGGTGTGCAGCAGCTCCTTCCTCTCGATCAGCTGCCGGGTCACCTTCTGGGAGCCGTTGCGTTGCTCGTCGGACGAAGACACATCCTCGGTGGTAGGCACTGTTGTCTCCAGGCTGAGGTCCTCGGACTCCAGGTCCAACGAGCTGGAGACGTTGGCTGCCGTCGGCTTCGGCTGCTGCTTCTTAGGAGGCATAGTTGCTGTTCTTCGTTCCTTAGCTAGTTTGCGTCCGAAATACTAAGACATTAATAGACAACGATCTAAGAGTTTGGTTTCATCGCCATAATTCATTCTTAAACGTTCGTTTGAAGCAAAAATAACCCCAATACTGTATTGTTTTGGATAAGCCTCTTTTGAACTAATCACATATTTATTTCTGTCTGACTATTTGTAGCTGAAACACCCTCAAAAAGTCTAGCAAACTGTTAATAGTTTCAAGGGTCCCGCTCCGTGGCGCTTGCTAACCGCCAGCTGTTGTTTGACTGTTGGCCACAGCGCCCTCTATCGTGAGATAGAGGGCGCCATATTGTGAGTGTCAACTTCACCTTGGAAAGCGAACTTTAAAAGCTCAAAGAATTCCAAATTCCAATTCCAATGAATTTTCAAAGTGAAAGTTACTCTAATTTAGATTAGGTGCTAATCTAATCCTCCTGCGACATCTAATGATGTCGGCAAATCAATTTAAAACAGGACAATACCCTAGTGCTTAAAAATTGACATCTAAATTCCAACATTAATCAGATAGTGAAACTGGTGTAAAATTTAATATTAATTTGAACTGAAGTGTATTTATTTTTTGCTTGTTTGTTGAGGGTTTTTTTTCCCCCTGTCAAATTTAACAAGGGAATTTTCAACATTTTAATCATTTTGTTTTCAAAATGATAAATAGATAGATTAGTGTTTATTGTCCGTGCATTTGTTTATTCACCATTAAATATAATACACTGTGACTTACAGAAGTACAACAACAGACCTCACAGCCATACAGTTTGACCTAAAATCCTTGTAAAAGTGATTGTTTTGTGCGTGTTTCTATAAAATGCCCCCCACAGTATGGCGAAGTATTGTGGCGTAGTACAAACCTCCTAACGCTAGGATGTGCTATCAAATTAATTTCTTCGTCGATCAGCTTATTTTCGGTCTTCCTTCACTTTGTTTTTATCGAGAAATTAAATGAACAACCAAAACTAGTCATGAGATTTACTTTTTATTTTTAGTCTAGCTGATAAAGCTATTACATTTTTAGATAAAAATACGTTGTTCCTAGGTTACTTCAAGACAAAGATAATATATGTAAGCTTGATAGCACCCAAAGCGTTAACCTCATGGCTCCTCTAACCCTTGGACAGTTTTTTTCCGTCCCACGAGTGGCTACACATGGTTAGTTGGATAGCCTGGCAACTTCAGATGCTGGGATAAAATCATCAGAAATTAGACGTGGTGGCCTTATGTCTTCATCATGTTGAAGTCTAAGACCTTCGTTAAGAAGACCCGATCGGGTGGAGTGTTGAAGGTCGTACGTGAGCATTACCTGAGAGATGATATTTGGTGTGGAAGTGAAGTCTGCACTGAGTGCAAACAGGACTCCACGGTGCTGCAGAGAGACGCGTGTATTGAGAGCAGTCTGTGTCCCGACCCTCACTATCTGGTTCCTGACACCAACGTAGTGCTGCATCAGGTAACAGCCCAGGGTAGTTACTTTTCGAGATTTCCAAATGTGGCCACATAAACGTTCCTCTCATTCTATTTTTTTTATGTTTACGTTCCTTTTATTTATTTATTTTTTACTTCAGATTGACGTGTTGGAAGATCCTGTGATTCGCAACGTGGTAATCCTCCAGACTGTTCTTCAGGAGGTTCGTCATCGCAGTGCACCGGTTTATAAACGCCTGAAGGATATCATACACGACCAAGGAAGACACTTCTACACATTCACCAACGAACACCACAGGTACCGGGGAGGGGAAACCACAAGATCATATAAATGCACACTTGTGATATTTAGAAACGCACTGTTTAGATTCCCCCCTAATTATGGGGTTCGATCAGTGCCCCCCAAAAAATGTTTGTGACCTCGGTAAGTCTGTAAAGGTGGTGAACCTATAATATATCTCAATACTTGATTTATAGTTCTTTTATAAATGTCTGCAATATCTTTTCCCGCAGTTGTATCTCCTAAGTGTTAAGTGGATATTTCCTCAAATGTTCACTCTGAGCCAGCTCAGTGGCAGTGCACAGCAACACATAACTCAGAACTCCATCCATACAGCCAGAGAGCCTCTGGTCACTCAGGCACCTAATTGGATATGATTGGTAACTATATGACTGGTGGCTATGGTGTTGCTGAAAATTTTATCTTTACATTCTATAACTTAGTGATGGTCAACCCACGCTTCTTGGCAGTTTTATATTTGGCATGTCTTAGCTTAATGGTCAGAGGGAAACCTGTTCAGACTACATTTCTGAATGTTCTTGACCATGATAACATTGTTTTAAAGCATATTCATTTGCCCTAATCTTTTCAGACTTTTTGTATCAATTTTCCTTATGTTTTACTGAACACTTTCCGAAATCTTGTTCAGTTAGCCCTAAGGAGACAACAGCACTTGCCTGTTTTATGTAAAATGAAAGTACATAACTACTCGCCTAGTTTAAGTACCTTCTTTCAATCTTACATTTTTGCAACTTTTGACTGATTCGTGGAGTTTTCTCAAAACTTTGCAGAGCTGCATTCTCAAATTTTTCCACATTGGTTTTAAAATAATTTCTAGAATGCAATAATTCTCACAGGGAGAATTTAAAGCTCTTGCAGTGACTTGTGTTACTAAATAGCATCCATGCTAAGCTGAGCCTTGTGCTTGAATTCTGTTGACTCTCATGTTGATATTTGGTGTGGTATTTAGATGTCAACCCTCCACTGCAAAGTACTTCGGTAGTTTTTACTACCGACTCCCATGTTCTTGCAGAGAGACATTCATCGAACGTGAACCAGGGGAGAGCGCCAATGACCGTAATGATCGGGCTATCCGAGTGGCCGTCAAATGGTACAGCCAGCATCTGAAAACAGCAGAGTCGGGCTCAGATGGTCTCAAGGTGGTCCTCCTCACCAACGATCAAGGCAACAAGCTAAAGGCTGAAGAGAACGGCTTAGTGGTTTACAAATGTAAATTGTATTCATCTCCCGTCTTCACGACAGTCTCGAAGATGAAGCACGCTTGTTCATGCCACTACAATTTATTTTCTTTTTACATTCTAGTTGATGAATACATTAAGAGTCTGATTGGGAACCCCGAGTTAGTGGAGTGCTTGGCTTTGTCCAACGATGATAAGGTGGGCACAACTGTGTAGCTATACAACAGAAATAAATCTGGTTCCATACTGAAAGCATTCTTTTAATCTTTCCCCTACTTTCCTTCCTGTTCTCCGTCAGAGTGAGATCACCAGCAGTAAAGTGTTGTTTCCGGAGCATCTCCCTTTGTCGAAGGTCCAGGCGGGAATCAAGTCTGGCTCATTTCTCCAGGGAACCTTCAGGGCCAGCAGGGACAACTATCTGGAGGCCACTGTTTTTGTCCAAGGAGAGGGGGAGGACAGCACAGAGGTGGGCATGGACTTGTCTTCGGAAATGTTCTGGAGTGTTGCTAATTTTCTAACAAGACCCCAGATTTAGGATTTTGGAGGAAAGAATTAGTTTATTGGAGTCTAAAGCTGTACTTTAGAGAAAAAAAAGTTATGTTTTGCTCTTTTCCTTGCCTGCAGGTTCTTATCCAGGGTCTTCAGAACCTGAACAGAGCAGTGCACCAGGATATGGTTGCTGTCCAGCTGTTGCCAAAGAATCAGTGGGTGGCGCCGTCGTCAGTCGTACTGCAGGACGACGGTGCAGCGAAGGACGATAACGTCGATGAGGACGAGGAGGAAAAAGTGGTAAATTTCATTTGCTTTTTTTTTTTTTTTTTTACCAAGGATCTTTCCAACATCTGTTTTTTTTCTTCTTTCTTTTTTATTTGGAAAGATGGATTTCCATCACATTGATTATTACAGCATTAGTCATTCAAGGTCACAGATAAGGATGGGAGCAGAAAGTTCAAAACAATAAAAGAACTTAACAAAACATCATATAGAAACAAAAAAAGGCCCGGATGCCATAATTCACAAGTAGTCAAACGAAGTCAGGTCTAATTGGTTTAACATACTCTGTCCGTTTGATCCAGATCTTTATTTTTTATTTTTTTATTTGAAGGGAAATAGACATTTTCTCCGTAACATAAATCTGATAGACAATTTTAATCCTTTCAAAAGCCTATGGTTCTGCTTTTAGCCATTTTCTCATGACAGATCTTTTACCGTCTGTCAATAGCAAAGTCAACAGTCTTTTTGCCTTTCTTGGTCCAACAGTAAACTGCCCAAATACAAAGTTTCACATTTGAATAGAATGATTACAATCTATATTTCAGTATGTTTGTGGATCTCTTCCCAGTAGTCTCTTTAACTGGGAATCCCCCCAAAATATGGAAGTGGTCCCGTGGTCGCCTCCTTTAGACCCACAAAGTCCCCAAAACAAAAAAGTACATAATTTGCGGGAGGAATAGACATCCTGACTCTCTGGGAGCTTAAACTTAAGAAAGGGAACGGCATTCCATCAATGTATGTCTGACTTTGTTTTTGAATATAGTGGGCCATAATTGCTGTCACAGTCTGGGGAGAAGTGAGACTGTGACAGCAAATGTTTGTAAGACTCAACATTCCAATTGTACATGATCTTAATTGAAGATGGGGGCTGTTAAATGTTAATCCTTGAGTTTTGTTTATATCCATTTCGTACTGAGTTTTTTGGAGTGCCTGTGAGGGTTGTGCTATTACCAATAAATCAGATTAATAAACCGCATGTCATAATTACCCCTTTTATATCTGACCTCTGCCTAATCAAGTGACTCATGGGTTCTATAAACAAGACAAAAAGCAGCGGCGAGGCTGCTCTTGTGTGAATGAATTGGTTAAGTTCCCATTGATTTAATTCTAGCCGTTGGTTTATTGGATAGGGCTGCAAATGTTTCGTTTCCTCTCCTCTGCCTTCTCAATTAGCCCTTCCACGTCGTCAATTCCGGTATTCACTTTCACAATCTCCTCTTTCATTGCTTCTAGTTGTTACTTAATTTCTTGGCGAAACCCTCATAATTCTCGCAGAATCACTTCCGAGTCTGTCGTTCATCGACCCCGCGCCTCCTTGTTTGTTAGCTTGAGCCAGTTAGCTGCTAATTGTTACGCTAGATTTTGTGATCGCCGTATATTGTGACCGCAGGGGGCGCTGTTGCAACTTTATACCGTATTTTGCCATACCTCGGCCTAACGCAAAAGGAAAAATAACAAAAAACCGCTGATATGGTGACTATTATGGAAGCATAGACGGTGACAGAATACAATAGCTCTTATCAGATGCCGTCTATATTTGGATAATAGTCAC